AGAACATTTACATATTTATTCATGTATTTTATTCAATTACAACTGCTTCATTAATCAAGCTTACATTTCAGCATTCAGATTCTGCTCTGTCGCAGATCCATCGATTGAACCAAGTTAGTTATAACGTAAAGCACCCATAATGATGCTCTAAACTGGATGGTAAAAACTTCTTTAGAGAAGAACCCCATCATTTCTTTATGCAAATTTCATTGTTTTACACAAACTCCAATTTAAAAAAAATACAATATTAGTTTTGATAAAAATATGCACTCGCTTTCCATATTAATCTAAATATATGTAAATGCAACATATAGGGCCAATGTTTGCTTTACAAATATTGAGAACATTACATATTCCTCTCTAAAACAAAAAAAATCACTTACAAAAGCTAACACGTATTCCAATATCATATATAAATCTTATAAATAAATAAATAAATAAATAATGAGGCTATTTATTAAGATATTAAATGTAACATTTATTATTTTTTAGGAAATGAAAAACAAACCTACCTTAAATAATAATATTAATAATAATGATGATGACGATGATGATGATGATGGTTATTATTATTTTTATTAAGTAGGATTAAGGGTGTCACGATCCTCCAAATCTTCGATTCGATTATATTTTTGATTCTAAAGGCACGATTCGATTCGATTTTCGATTGTGAATAATTAATTAATTAATAACCAATTAATTATTTGTAGCCTACCGTTTAAACTACCTGACCTGCATGGTCTTTGTTTTACCCATAAACAAATCATACAGTAAATGAATAAAGGCAAGATACACACATAATTACCACCAGTCAATCACTTTTTCTGCGGGACTCGTGAATAGGCAGTGATCTGTGTCGTTATAATGGCGTCGGTAAAAAAGACGCACAACCAACAGGAACCAGCCAACAGTATCTGAGGTGTTCGCTAAAATGACTAAGTACAAGTGAGTGAAAGATTGAAGCAGTCCTCTGACTGCCTGAACCTGCTGTCTCGAGCGCATGACTGTGAGTGCGTCTGTGTCTGTTTGGTCACGTGATGTGCATTTTCAGAGGTAGTGAGGAAGGAGGGCTGCTCAGAAATGCTACACGCCACTGTGGATGTCAAATCGTTGTCGATCTAAAATGCCATTTAAAAACAAAGACAGTGTAAACAGGGCCTGAGTGTGTACTTTTCGCAAGCGGATTTGCAACGGGGGCGGGCGGAGGATCGCGATGCCGTTGTTGTCTATCGGACGAACCGCACGTAATACGTACATAGCAGAGCTTGCAAAACTGTGTTTTTTTTTTTTGACGACAACACGAACATTGTCAACATAACTCTCTGGAAATCCAAAATGCTTAAACACCGGCGACTTCATTGAAAGAGGAGAGGGTTTAAGTTCTGTCGACGGGTCTCCTGCTTCTGCAGTTTAACAAGCACTTCAACAAGGCGTTTTTTTTCCCGCTTGGCAAGCCAAGCTGACCCTACATGAGGGGCGTGGCAGCATCGACGATTCTATTTTTTGATTTGATAATCGAAATTGAGCATAAATTTCCATCGATTTTGATTAAAAATCAAAATCGTGACACCCCTAAGTAGGATATTGTTTTTTTAAGTCTACTTCTACAATTTAAGACATGCAAACATGCAGAAACGTTTTAACCAACAGGCCCATGTCATATACAGTACAGATAGATAATAATAACCTACTTTAAATTAAAAGCATTAACGTATGCCATGTTTTTTGTTTTCACAAGCTTTGGAGACGTAACGTAAATTCCGCTTTTATGTAATAGGTCACCTACAGTTTCGTCATGAGCCACAGCTGTGTTCAAAATGACATCAATGTTTTCAAAGTGCACTGCGAAGGCAACGCAATTGTAAACATGAAGATCGTTAAAACAGAACTGTAAAAATACTTTAAAAGCAAATTACACCAAAGAGAGTTGACTTTATTTTTTTAACTATTTTTAATCATTTTTAAGTTTAAATGTTGTATTGTTCTAAACGGATAGAGCATAGGGGGGATAACTGGGAATAGAACACAGCCAGGAACTATGTTTCTAACTGCAGCTCCAGAGGTGTAGTTGCAAGCATACAAGATTTCGATGCAGTTTGCGAATGTTCGCCGGAACGATGGATTTGGGAAACGGCAAATCAATGAACTACATTTGTAACAATAGAACTTACGACCTTAGTTGGCTAACGATGGTTTTCGGAAAATCACCCCAGATGGATTTATCAGAATCTGCACTAACTAATGCTGCAGTCTGCCAGCTGGAATCACCAATAAAAAACGTTCCAATTTCATTTTCTATATTGATATAAATATCGTTATTGCGAATATTCTCAAAATATCATGATGTTATTTTAAAGCAGTAGCGCCCACCACTAGAATACAGTGCACTTTTCTTACACTGAGCCGCTGTAGTACTCTTTGAGAGCCACTTTAAACTAATTATCCAAACACACACACGCACACAATGCAGACTGACCGTTCATTCTTTTTCTCTTTGTCCTTGGCTGGGAGTTCACTGGGCCATTGTGTCAGACGCATCTAAAAATAGGTCTGCCGGCATGATACCAGCAGCCGCCTGGGGCTTTTAAACAACATTACCTCAGTCATCAAACCCCTGCGGGAAACCCATCATGACAGCACCAGAGACTGCAGCTCTGCTCGTTTAAATACCCATGCAGCGTCTTCTGCCTCTCGGCTCACCAGAAGCACTAAGAGCTTCAGGAGGGCACAGGGGTTGGAGGACTGTTTTTAGGAAATGGATGATGACTGGAATTCCTTCGGCAGTCTGCATTTGCACATAAATCATTTGAGCCTTGAGAATATCTCCACGGATCAGCGAGTGAAGGATAATGTCACACTTTCAGGAATCGTGTTGCTCTAAAGTCATATGACCTCGTTCTTGTAAGAAATAAAACACAGGTGGTTCTAATAGGCAATCAGTCAGACGTGTTTCCAGTGCATGTTGGACTCCGGCAGGGCTGGAGCCCTTGTCACCAATTCTATTCGTAATTTTAATGGACGGAATTTCAAGGCGCAGCCTTACCGTACGTTCACACTGAAAGCGGCGAGAGCGTCCAAGGTCGCTCTGGCCGCCCTGGCGACAACGCTGACTGCCTTCAGCTCCGGCGGCGAGAGCGTCAAAACCATAGACTGTAAAATATATGGACGTAGTATCCGTGACGTCACCCATAGGTTTCTGAAGAGCGCAAAAGAAGCCACAAGTAGGCGCGGCCAACCGTCGCCATTTTGGTCACGCGTCATCACACCCACGGCGGGATACCAAACAAGGGCAAAGAGGCGGAGAGTGAGCGGAGCTACAGACACCTGCTAGCATTTAGCTTGGACCTGGTTCAGACACACTTTACTTTGGGAGAAATGCTTAATACTGTATCACCTGCGACTCGTTTGTATTCTGACCACTTGTGCTTGGTTGTACACTATATCAATGAAGTGTTTAGACTTTAAAAACACTGCTGTAATACATTGAGCCACTAAACATTGTTCTTATGACGTTTTAAACAGGAGGAAAACGTGAATTACTTCCAAACACTTCAGATATAGTCTGTGTTAGTTAATGTAAGACTATTGATGAAATCCAGCATAACACTGTATGACAACGCTTCAGATGACTGTTTTAGAGCCTACAGCTAATCAATCTGACAGATTCTGGAGTGCATTACAGCTCTAAATATAAATATAAACGATAAATGATCTTAAATAAAACAAATACATGTATAGAGATGGTATATAAGTATATAACTTTACTCACATGGGAAACGGAGGCCACGTGAATGGTTTGTGAGCACAATTAAGTGCCCTCAGCATGCCATGCCATCCAATAATTGTAGGAAACAAGTCCAAAAGGCAGTTGACTGTGTAAAGCCACATAAAACAACACAGAAATACGATAAATATGCCGAGTTCAGTGGCTAATCTGCAGAGGTGACGTGACGGCGACCAGCGAGACCTAACTGTCACTCAAGTGGCCACTCCCTTAATTATGCAAACTTAATATAACTTAATATAAAGGAAACGGATGAGTTATAAAAAAATTCACCCCCCTCACAGTTGTCATGAAGGGTATTATTAGCTGTATTAACCAAAATCTTTTTTGTACCAGGCTGTAAACACCTTTTTTTCTGCTGTAAAGTTGGCCATTCTAACAGTGGGCTCAATTGAAATTTGCTCTGTTTTGGAGCCAGGAGCGGCCAGGACTAGCGGAATTTCGGATGAATTGCAGTTTTAGTTACTTCCGTATTGGCTTCCTGAGGGAGAGCGGGAGGTTGCCGCTTGGTCAAAACTCGCTACATTGATCTTATATTTAAAGGAGCCGTTGCAGCATATCAGTTACATACCTGCATAAAACATGTTTCTAGCGTGAAAATGTTGCGCACTTCTTATCAAATTCATACAACAACGGAAGATCAAGTTGCATGTGGTGTGGCTTTGCTCTGTTTATCCAATATGTGTCCATATGTCTGAAATATCCTGAAGCAGCAGTACTGTCACATCGCGTGAGATTCCCACTTTTTTAAGATAAATTTATATAACATTAACGCACATCAGTAACTCGCCAGTAACTTATTTAATGTATGTTCCTGTAGGAAAACATTGTAAATAATTGGAAATCCGGCGATCGCAATAGTCCCTTGGGAACAACTGTGGTCGGAACCAAAGTTCACAGGTCTGTGTTCTCTGAACTCCTATAAAGCGGTGGACGTCTTCATTCTGATTGCTTGCCGCCGAACCGCGTCATAGCTCATTACCATAAAGTTGACTTCATTTCAACTCTCATCGACGCTCACGCCGGCGAAGACGCGCCGCGCTGCTCCTCGCCGCCTATTGCCACTGGCTCTCATGGAAAATGAATGACTTCTGGCTACTTTGACGCTCTCGCCGCTTTCGGTGTGAACGTACGGTTAGGCTGGAGGGGGTCGGACCAACCCCGGAAAACCATTTGGACCAAAATCTCAGACAAATATAGGACAGTAATGTCTCACCGGGAGGCTAGACGGGCGGTCCTGCTGAGTAAGACCCATGTCATCGTGGTTTGGTTTTCCAGACTGTCCCCTGCTGCCATATCCCTCCTGCAGTGTGTCCTGTGGGGATAAGCAGAGAAAATGAGGAACGGGGAATGCCTGATGAAAAAAAAAACTTTAAAAAGAAGTATCCACAGAAGAACTCAGAAAGTTTGAGGAGCTGTACATTTGCAGGCCTTGATTCACACGGAAGAAGGTAATTAGACAGCTGCAGACAGCGTGATGATGATAACAGCCCGTAATTTCACTTCATCCACTAACTCTGTGATTTACGCGAGCAGATCGTGCAGAAGTGCTGAGAGATGTCTGATAGCTCAAACATACACCATACACTCATATCAACCATAAAATGATGCCATCTGCATAAGGGGGGATCTATAGATATGCATTGACGGTTGGCCATTCGGCTTCATCAGGGCTTCGTTTAGCGCTGGTCTGGCTAGTTGGATTCGCAGGTCGCCTTTCATTGGGTTAATGTCAGATTGCTTTGGTTCAATTCAGTGTTTAGAATGGGCGTTGGCTGTTGACTGAAGAGAGTGATCTGATACCAGTTCCGGGTCCGTGACGTCGTCGACTTTCACTTTAAGATTTAAAGGGCTAGCATTGCACCAGACCTCCATAAGTGGTTTTGTATGAAATTGTAGAATCTATATTTTATGCACATATGCATCACTTTGTTTTTTATGCTACTGTACAAAAGTTATTAACTCTTAAATACACAGTATTTTGGATACCCGAGCTGGGTATTGAACATTGGTTCATTTTCATATTTTTCATATGGTTCATAAATGACACATGTACAAGTTATAGCTCAAATGAAAGCTCTTGCCGGTGCTCATACGGTTCTAGCATTCTTTTTACTGAATTATATTCACATATCAAACTGTTGTTGAATGAATTGCGGTGTATCCATTGCGCAGAAATGAAAACAATACATTTATGATCAATAAGCAGCCCCAGATAGCACAGACAGCTGTCATCTCTTACCTTATGCTGTGCGCTTCAGGGCCATTCTCCTCTGTTTTTGAGGTGATGTGCATAAGTAATCCTTTTATATGTCTGACGTGGTCCAAACACAGTGAATTATGTTTGATCAAACAAAAGAATAGTGAAATATGAAAACAATGATCGATCCCTGTGGCTTGTACAGCACCTCTCATCAGTTGGAATACAATAAGTTTCGCATAGATTATGGTGGAGACATTTTTCTTTTTTCCTATAACGGACATGTGCAGGAACCACCAAAATTAATTACAGCAACCTAGACCACACAGCGGGCTTTTTTTTATTTCAGCAAGTTCACATAACAACTGTTCCTGAGTGCTATGTTTGGCGTTTTTAAGTGCAAAGATGCATTCTGCATTAATGACTCCTAATTCCGGGCACACGATGAGGATTTTGCAATAAAAATAGTGAAAGTGAATGTACTCGCCCAAATGCTTCCAAATATATTTTAATGTCGCGTAGATAACATTTCGGGTGCATATACGACCAAAACGGTCGAGCCCTAGCATCCTACTTGTTATTATTTCCTCAAAATAATAATAAAATAAGAAAGTTATCATCAATTACAATACAAATTACAATGAACTCCAGATGAACTCTCGTCTCCTCCACCAGCTTTGGGAAAAGCCATTAGAACGACACAGATCAGAAAAAACTAATTGACAAGTGGTCATTTGTGTGTAACTTTTATGGTTTGATTATGGGTAAACCAAAGACCATGTGGGTCAGGTAGTGAAAACAGTAGGCTACTGTTGGAATATCAAGTCAATTCCAAGCGTGTTCGATAAGAAAAAGTCTAGAGAGGGTTTTCTTCAATGCCAAAAATATAAGTAATTTATTAGATACAAACTAATAATTTGATGACAGCTCTGGGTTACGTTACCCCAATGCAATACAAGAATTACATTCAAGAGGTTCGCAACTAACATACATTTCCCTGACTCCAGTATATATACACAACTGATATTAACAGGTGGAGTTTTGCTGTAACGTCACTTATCAGTCATTCTGCAGTCCTTTGGCTCTTGTACCCCAGACATACTTCCTCTTTCTGCAACCCTTCTCTGCATACCAGAAAAATAAGAAGTATGCCTGGTCAATATGTGCTATCATACAAAAGAAAAAAGATTTATTGATCTGTTGTTATTCTAAACATTTTTCTAATAAAAAATAAGTACGCAAGTAATAAATATAAATTAATTTGGGCTACACTACAATTAATTAAACGATGCCAATTTGGTCAACATCGCCCAACCCAAATCAGAATACAATTTAAATCCTAAAGACAGCCAAAAAAACACCTGAAATATTTGGCATACACAACAGATTACTGATCTAATTTTTAAAACACAAGTTACGTTTTTAATTTCAACAAATCGTTTAAATGAACTAATAATTTAACCAAGCATAAAAGCTGACTAGCAAACTCTCAATTAATTTCTCAATAAAAACGCCAGACTGGGAGCTTTATATTCAAATTTTTTTTTTTTCAACAAATCATTAAAATGTACCACTAAATATAAACAAGCAAACAAGCTGAATTATTCTCAACTAAATATTACGAGAGAGAAAAAATTGGCCCTGGGTCTTGGCCCTGTATCGCACTAATCCTATGGACACAGAGCCAAAAGAAACTTATTACGCCATCTTCTCTGCAAAAGTGGATACAAGACTTCCCTCGGCAAACACACTACAGAAAAGAAAACGTGCTCAGAATGTGTGCCAACTAAGGTCGCCCTATACTCATGTACACAAACATCACCCAGCACTCCCTCCTCGCTCACTTCATTCAACAGTGGGAAAATAAAACTGGATGGGGAAAAAAAAGAGAAGGGGGTGGGGGAGGCAGACAGGGGGCATCCCCAAGCCAGACGGAGCCATATGTGTGTGCGTGTGTGTATACTGACACTGGGTCATGGCCAGGCCACACACACAGACGGCTGTTTACAGTTGGGCCATTACATCACCGCTCAGGCATGTGCTGATTCAGAAGCGTAACAGCTGCTCTGCTGTGATAACGGACAGAGAGACCTCCGAGATTTACGGCGTCACAGGAAAACTATGTGAAAGCTCCCAAAGGACACGTGCTTTTTCTCTCCAACACTCAAAAGTTACTTTCACTATGTCAGGTTGGGTTCTTTTCACTAGGGCTGCACAATATTTGGCATTGTGATATACAGTTGAAATCAGAATTATTGTTTATTTTTTCCCCAATTTTGTTTATCGGAGAGAAGATTTCTTCAACACATTTCTAAACATAATAGTTTTGATAACTCATCTCTAATAACTGATTTATTTTCTCTTTGCCATGATGATAGTAAATAATATTTGACTAGATATTTTTTAAGACACTTCTATACAGCTTAAAGTGACATTTAAAGGCTTAACTTGGTTAATTAGGTTAACTAGGCAGGTTAGAGTAATTAGGAAAGTTATTGTATAATGATGGTTTGTTCTGTAGACTATTAAAAAAAAAGCTTAAAGGGGCTAATAATTTTGTCCTTAAAATGGTGTTTAAAAAATTAAAAACTGCTTTTATTCTAGCCAAAATAAAACAAACAAGACTTTCTACAGAAGAAAAAATATTATCAGACATACTGTGAAAATTTACTTGCTCTGTTAAACATCATTTGGGAAATATTTAAAAAAGAAAAAAGATTCAAAGGGGGGCTAAAAATTCTGACTTCAACTGTACATTGCGATATGAATATAATATCACCAGATGAGTTGAATAGCTCTATTAGAAAAGGTTTCATTTAGATCGAGTGGAATTATCAAGTCTTTTGATGATCAAGTCTAAAGTGCGTCTGCGTAAATTATAATAAATTATAAGCCAAAATCAATAAATAGACAATGCTTTACGGTTTCCTGGGGAGTCTAACAATATTCAAGTATGGAAACTGAACAATCAGTTGTAAAACAACATGGTCACCATTGAATAATTGATGAAAAATAATAATATTTAATAATATCTTTGCTTTTAATTTTTTATAAATAATCTAATCCTGCAAGATGACTATGGCAGATACACTTTGTGATATCGATGCACAAACGATATTGTTTAGAACCTAATTATCACAATACAGAATTTACAGTAGCCACTGCAAATACAAGACATTTTTATCACAAGCGCAACAAGTCATTCAAATGCACTTGTTTAAATATTTAAAAGATTTTATTTATTTTTGCTTTTGTTTTTTAGGACAACAGTATCTCCAGCAGAAAACATATCCAAAGATACCATTTTAAACTGTAAAGAAATCAGTGTTTTTGAAACTAATGAAAACAGCAGAAGTCAATGATTTATTTTAATTATTTAGCTTGAGCTGTTTACAGCTCTGAAATATTTTAAATCTTTCAAAAAAAAAATTATATATATATATATATAAATATATATATATATATATATATATATATATATATATATATATATATATATATATATACAGTTGAAGTCAGAATTATTAGCCCCCTTGAATTATTAGCGTCCCTGTTTTTTTTTTTTTTTCCACAAATTCTGTTATGTTCTGGGAAGACTGTTTTAGCTCATTTCTAAGAATAATAGTTTTAAAAACTTATTTCTAATAACTGATTTATTTTATCTTTGCCATGATGACAGTAAATAATATTTTATTAGATATTTTTCAAGACTCTTCTATACAGCTTAAAGTGACATTAAAGGCTTAACTAGTTTAATAAGGTGAACTATGCAGTTTAGGGCAATTTCTCAAGTTATTGTATAACGATGGTTTGTTCTTTAGATTATCAAAAAAAAGATTTGCTTAAAGGGGCTAATAATTTTGTCCCAAAAATGTTTTTTTTTAAATTAATAACTGCTTTTATTCTAGCCGAAATAAAACAAATGAGACTTTCTCCAGAAGAAAAAATATTATCAGACATACTGTGAAAATTTCCTTGCTCTGTTAAACATCATTTGAAATATATATTAAAAAAAGAAAATAAAAATCAAAAGGGTGCTAATAATTCTGACTTCAACTGTATATATATTGCTTTCAAAGGGGGGGAAATGTGTTGTTTTATACCCAAAATTTAAA